TGTTAAAAGATGCACAGAGCTTAACTATTTCTCCACTGTTAAATCTGGCAGAGGGAATCATGGGTAGGACCCCTAAGTTTTGAAATAATTTGGCTGCAGTTGGGACAGACAGAGTGCTCTATTTTGAAAGAATACTGTGCTAGTCAATAGAAAGATTCAAAACCTAGCCCTTTTTCTGCTACCAATATATTATTAAGATAAAATTAAATATTGTGTGTGTGTAAGTACAAATATACACATTTGAAGTTTAGCAATTTATTACCAAACATAAAATGGGTCAATGTGAATTAAAGGCTTGCACTACCACAGCTCCACTAATTAAATTCTTTAGTTCTCTTCCTCTCTTTTCTTTTTGTAACTAATGGCATTGGTTTTTCAGATTTCCTTAATAGACCAGGAGGTTAAAATTTATCCATCTATTGTTCAAGCTATCTCTTAGGGCCTGTTTTATTTTCTATATTTGTCTCTGTTAAAATGGATATGATGAAGCTGGCTTAACTGGTGGTTTAAAGTTTGGATTAAAATTTAGGTTCCCTGTAAAGTAGTCCTTCTTTGATTTCCAAGTGCTGCTTAAGCAGTAGCTAAATATCTTCATGTATTAATACCCCATTACAGCAATAAAATTCCTAAGGACCTAAACTCTATCATAAACAACACTCAAAATATATTAGTTTTTTAAAGACAAAATTGTAGATTTTGTGAGATTAAATTTATAGTTATTTTACATTATATCCTGATCCTTTAGGTTACATTTGCTGTCAGCAAATATTATGATTCCAAGTATTTAGTGTTAAACCGTCTCTTGAATTTAATTGGAATGTATAATATTTTTGCTTAAATTTAATTAAAAGATTAAAGTAACTATATGATTTTCAGTTTACAACTCTGAAGCTGTTAGTACATCTACAAAATACCTTAGAGTGCGTGGGGAGGAATTCTCAGAAAGGAACCAAACTACCATTCCACTGTTTGTTTTCTGTTTGTCTCAGGTGTTCTTTTGTCCTTTACTACCCTGTTTCTCTTTTTTATGACTTCCTTTGAAATTATGTAAATTTTAAAATTCATTTTTCCCTTGGGTTGGCTTGTTAGTTATGTACTGTTTTTATGGTACTGGTAGTTGCTACCTATAAGATGTCAACGTACAACCCTGACTTATTAAAATATTATATAAATTAGTTCTATTGCAACTTATTAAAAATATGATAATTTAACTCCCTTTACTGCCTTCGTTTTCTATATTGTTGTTGTATATATTAATTTTTTATATGGTATATTTGTAATATGTATTTATAATCAATATACATT